AAAAGAAATTAGAAAAGAATACATATACATGTATGCATATAAGATAATATGATATTTAGGAAATTTCCCTATGAATGATTTTCTGTCTTTTTAAAAAATCTCTTAATATATCTTTTTAATTTTGTTATTCCTTCTTTACAGAAATCATTGCCTCATTGTCCTTAAGTGTTTTTTTTGTTGTTGTTTTGGGTTGTTTTTGTTTTTTTGGTAATTATCAAACTGAAAGGGAGAAAAGTAGGAAGAAAGACAGGAAGTTAGGAAAGAAAAAAGACTGAAAGGAATTTTCAATCTCCATAGTAACACCAGTGTTTTAAGACAAACTACTGCACAATTTCACAGTCTTAAAACTGTAAATCCCGTGCAACACGAGAAAATTGAGAATGAGGAGCTGAAAATGAGCCAAATGCAGTGAAAGGGCATGAGTTTGGTTTTCAAAAGAACTGGAGTTCCAATCTCCAGAATTGTTTTCACAACTTTGCTGTGGAGGTGAGAATGGCTTCTTCACGGGAAGGTTTGAGACAATTGAAAGAAAACGTTCTTGCTAATAACTCACAGCTTGTCAGGTTTTAACCAAGGTGTTGCCCCTTTTCTCCTCTTGGAACAAGACTGGAGCACTTGTCTTAGCCACTGGGGATCTGGGATGGAGTGTCCTCAAGCCATGTTTCTAGTACACACCTCTGTCCATGGAAGAAACCTGTCTCTCAGATGGGATACAGAGTACCTTCACTTTCTAAATGGCCCTGGGAAAGGACAAGTAGTTTCCCCCCTTAAATTAAAACTTTGGAAGGAATATAATCAGTTTTCTTTTCTCTGTTTGAGGTCCTTCTCAGGATACTGTTCTAGTATTAACAGTCTCCCCACCCTTTCCACTTCTCCACCTGCAGTTTACACTTCATAAGTACCTTCTATAGCCCCTGTGAATATCTTCATATTTAATTGTGTACTTGTTCTTGCACACAATGAATTTTACTGTATGTCATGTGGATCTGTCATCACTCTCTTGGTGAGGGGAGAGATCGGGCAATAACCATTCATTCGTCTTATATACATGGGCACAGCTTGGAAGCTCAAAGAATGAACTATTAGGGACTTCCCTGGTGGTCCAGTGGTAAAGAATCCGCCTTACAATGTAGGGGACGTGTGTTCGATCCCTGCTCGGGGAACTGGGATCCCACATGCCACAGGGCAGCTAGGTCTGCACACCACAACTACTGAGCTCGTGCACCTCAACTAGAGCCCGCATGCCGTAAACTACAGAGCCCATGCGCTCTGGAGCCTGTGCGGCACAACTGCAGAGCCCACGCGCCCTGGAGCCTGCGTGCCACAACTAGAGAGAAGCCTGCACACTGCAACTAAAGAGAAACCCATGCACCACAATAAAAAGCCTGCACGCCCCAACGAAAGATCCTGCATGCCTCAACGAAGATCCCGCATGCCGCAACTAAGACACAACACAGCCAAAAATAAATTAAATAAATAAATCTTTTTTAAAAAACAGTGAACAATTAATTGCTTAATGTGGTAGCACAAGTCTTCTCAGCCTCGGGGAAACACCTTCTCTTCATTGCTCAAAGTTAGAAAAACTGAAAGGCGGTAACAAGTGCTAAACTGGAGAGATCTGAGCTCTCCCCCCACACATGGGCAATGACTCATGGAAAGGTCAGGAAATGAATCCAATGACTGACAACTCACAGCTTTTCAGATATGATTTTGCATGAGTTGGAGACAGCAGAGCAGATCACCTGCATTAAGACTATTGATTTGTAAAACATTTAATTTGTGTATTTAGGAAAGTGTGTGCTAACAGTGTACCAAAAGGTAAACTTTATTTTCCCTGTAGATGCTGGTCAGAGTGTGAGCACTGTTGTCCCCAAATGCACCATTCCACCTCAGAAATGCCCACACTCAAACAACAAATCAAAGAAATTATTTTGCATTGGTAAATTTATTGCTTCCTTGTGATTCTTTCTTGTGATTGCTTTCTTGTGATATGAGTTTTATGTATGTATTTGTCTATAGATTTGTGTCTTGGTATATCAGTCATAATCCATAAACTTTCCAAGAGCAAGGAGGATGTTTCTCATTTTCTATTTTTCTATTTCTTTGATGCATTTCCTATGTTTTTTAAACTTAACAAAACAACAAAGAAGTGCAGACTTATGAGTAGAGCTCCTTTTATGGAGGTTCCGAGACCCAGTTTCCAACATGGTGGATGGGGAGGGTCCCCACACCAACAAACCTTGGACAGCAGCAGTGTGTCTAAGAGTACAACTCAATTCTGACACTAACTACCCAGGGAAAGTATCAGATTCCACAGGTTAAGTGTTCAGTCCTATAAGATTTCCTCAACCCCCTAACCACTTCAGAAGCCAGTTGCAAACCCAAGCTGTTACCTGTGCTTCTGACCAGTTGGCTACAGACTGGAGGTTCCATCAATCCCCTCCTTGGACTTCAGATTCTAGCCACAAGTCCAGGTTGTTACCTGTGCTTCTGAGCAACTGGCTATAAATCAGAAGTTCCCATGACCCCCTCCTCAGGTTAGATTAATTTGTTAGAGTGACTCATAGAACACGGAAAAACATTTTACTTACTAGACCACCAGTATATTTTAAAAGGATATAACTCAGGAACAGCCAGATGAAAGAGGTGCATAGGGCAAGCATCTTGGAAGGGCATTCTCCTTGTATCTCTATGTGTTCACTGACCCGGAAGCTCTCCCAACCCTGTCCTTTTGGGGTTTTATGGAGGCTTCATTCATAGATATGATTGATTGATTACATCATTGTCTATTGGCTATTGATTCAACCTCTATCCCCTCTCCCCTACCCAGAGGTCTAGAGGTGAGACTGAAAATTCCAGCCCTCTAATCACATGGTTGTCCATTGGCAACAGTCCCCATCCTTAGGTGCTTTCCGAACTCACCTTGTTAATATAACAAAAGACATCTTTATCACTCTCAACACTTAGGAAATTCCAAGGGTTTGGGAGCTGTGAGCCAGGAACTGTGGATGAAGACCAACATATGTGAGAAATGTATGTTCAGTCATCTGAATGACCAAACATATATTTCTTACAAGTCACAATATCACAGCTCCTAAATCCAGAAATCTACTCACCGTTTTTACTTGTATGCCACCAGGTATCATTAAAAATCAGAAGCCAAAATGTGTGGATCTAATGGGAGGATTTCCACGGGATTGTGTGATCTCTTCTTCCCTCCTGTGTGCACACAGGTGGTCCAGCCAGGTGCAATTCCAGATGTGGGAGGAAATGAAGGCATTTCTCCTGGTCTTGACCCATTCCTCTATAAATGAGAGGGGCCATGATATTTGTGCAGAGGAGCATATGGCAATGACAGTAAAATGCAGCTCTCCTGAGGAAAGACTGAGAGGGACCCTGATGGTGGTTTGGGTTTCTCAACAGCCCCAAGCTCTGGTGAAACTTCTAAACCCACAGGGGTCATTAGTACATACACTGAGGTGTGCTGTAGGTATACATCACAACAAACTCTATAATCTCCCCTAGGGTCCAGACAGAAAATGAGACCCATGAAAATTTGTCCCTAGATATGGAAAGAATTTATTACTTCATGTAAGTAAAATCAGGGACTCAATCCATTTTTGTTCTATAAACATAAATACTGATGGATCATTTGCTTCCTTACTCTTTTCCCAAGAATTATTATGTAACTAAAAAACAACTGAGGTATAATCAGTCCCATCCCACTTGGAAAGAATCACTTTTTTTCCCCTTAGACCTACTGAAAATGGGGCAGAAGTATTCAGACATTGTTTTATTAAGACTTTTATGTATTAAAAAGAAAGAACCCATTGTCCTATATAGTTGAAAAATTGCTTAGGTGCATTGATCAATTCAAAGTTTATTACTAATTTAAGAAAAAGACAGGGAGAACAATTTTGCTTTATTTAGTTAGTTAGGATTCATACTTTAGTTTCAAAACCTAACTAGAGGGAAATTGAGCAAGTATCATGAACTCCTAATTTATTAGACTGTGTATATATGACTGTGTTTTTAATGCTCTTACAGAGGCATGCCAAGGCTGAAACAGAAAACGAATAATGATAGATAAATGAATACAAATTGAGTCCCTGCAATCAGCCATGCAATATCAGAGAAAAACAGGCTAGCTTGAATCAATTGGCTAAGAGATTTATCAAAATAATTATTGGGTTCTTTGGAATACACACAGTTACAGAGTCAAGGAGTAAAGGAGTAAAAATTTACCATATAGGTAAATGTTTAGAACTTGTAAATTTGTGGAATATGTTTTTTATACAGACATATATACATATATGTGTTTATATGCCAACCGCCTCCATCCTTCCCTGTTATAATAAAAGAGTAAATCCACAGAAGACCCCAGAAGCACACAGAAAACATGCATGGAGGGGTCGGTTCTCGGAGAGCAGACAGATTTAATAAATCCCAGTGTTCCCAATTTCTCTGCCCTTTTGGGGCAATAAGTGTCAAATCACCACTGTAAATTAGCTCAGTTCCTTCTGCCTGCTGATGAAGCTATTTTACTTCCTGTTCCCAGCCAGCCCCACATATCACCCTCCTCCTAGTCCCCTTCCTTCAGGGCCTTTCCATCATGCTAGGATAGCTAGTTTAGTTAGTTAATTCACTTGACAAATCAGTCACATGACTGGGTGGTGGGGAAAATGATCAAATTAGTTATTTGAATAAATCAGCCAGTCTTTTGGTAAACTATAAACATAGCTCTGGAGAGTTACAGCTTCAGAAAAACTAATGTTTGAGAACAACTTTTTAATCATTCTTTATGATTTTAGTCGTTCTTTATAATGATCCGTGCTAGAAAAAAGTCCAGCTGTAACAGAGGGATGCCTGGAAGAAGGGGAGCGATGCTGGGGAGAGCAGACCAAAGACATCCTGTAGGGAGAAGAGGTAGCTCTACCTTGCAGTTAAGATGAAGAGGGGTTCATAAAGCATGAAAGAGTCAATTTCTATAAAAATTTTTATTCCATATAATTTTATATAACGTTCCCCACATTCTTAGTGAGTATGTGAATTTGCATATGGAGTGCACACAAGGCAATGCATGAGTCAAAGGTGTCGTATTGTCATAGGGAATCAAAGCTACAGGAGGCTCAGTGGAACCATTCCTGGGCACAGCAATTCATCATGGCATGAGAATCATTACCTCTATTCAAATTTCCTCTATTCAAATTTAGCCTTCTATTCAAATTTAGCCTTCAAATTTCCTCTACACTTAAGCATTGATTTTACTCATTTAGAACTTGACATTAAGCTTTATGTCAGTGGTAGTCTAGTGATAAATTAATAATAATACCACTATATTACATTTCACAAAATATTTTCAGACCCAGAATTTAATTCTGTCCACAAAAAGTTAATCATTTATTTATTCAACAAGTATGCATTGAGTGATAACCACATACAAACCAGTACTTGAGGTGTTTGAGATATGTCAGATATATCATTATCAATAGACAATGATCCCCCCCTCAGGATGCTTACATTCTATCCAGAAAAGGCAAAAGCAAAAATAAATAAATAAAAATAAACCCAATAAATAGGATAACAATAAAATATATTAGAAGCTGATAAGTACTATATTGAAGAAAAGAGCCTCCATTGGGCCCAGTGAAGGGGAGTGGGAGGGTAAGCTCTGGGTGGGTTCTGGGGTAGGTCAGGTTGTATAGTTCTGAGAAGCTGGATTTGAGCAGCCTTAAAGAAAGAAAGGGAATGAATTAAAGAAGCATCTGGGAAAAGGAAACTGCAGGTAGAAGGCACAGCTGGGAGAAAGGCCCAATAGTATAGGAAGTGCCTGGTGGTGTAAACCCAGCCAGGAGGCCAGAATAGATGGAGAATAATAAAAGGGGAAGTAAGGGGAGGGAGTCAGAATCAGAGTAGGAACTTGTGCTCAGATCTTCTAGGGTCTGAGGGTTTGTTGTAAAGATTTTGGCTATAACTATAAGTTGGATGGAAGGTAGCTGCAATGGTACTACAATCTTGGGTGCTAAAAGGATCAGTCTGGCTGCCGCATTGAGAAAGGACACAGAAGTGGCCGAGGTAAAGCCAGGATTATTGTTAGGAAACTAATGTAATAACCCAGAGGGAGAGGATGGATGTTAAGACGATGGTTTTAGCGGCAGAGTGGTTAGGTTAGCTCTGGCTGAACTCTAGATATATGCTGAAGGTAGAGCCAACAGGGCTTACTGATGGACTAGATATGAGAAAGTAAAATCAAGAAAGGAGTTAGCCAGATTGTTGGCCTGAGTAACTGAAAAAATGGAGTCTTTATCCACTGGAAAAGATTCTGTGTATTGTGTATGAGTGTGTGTGTGTGTGTGTGTGTGTGTGTGTGTGTGTATGGAATTGGGAAGGGAAGGAGTAGGGACAATAATAGGAGATGCACAAAGCTTTGTGAAACTTGGAATGCAAGGGATGAAGAAAGATTTAAGTTGGTTTAGTAACTAACATACCTCATGATAAGATGCACATTGGGATAATAGGATTAAAGGGTGACAGTGGAAACTAGGATGTTAGCTTTCTTTGTAGGGAGGAGGCATTCGTGGGATTCCCTTTTCACCCCTTGAAGAGGGTAGCAGGCCTGAGGCCATGAGGCTTCCTTGTCCTGGTGAATGGGTGGAGCCCCTGGGGTGACATGATCTTAGACCAGTGACCCTGTCCCTCTTGATCCCTATGGGGAAGGGGCTCTACTGCTCTGAGTGTATGTTCTCTGTCATGACTCCTCTCATAATTGCTGGCCCTATAGTGACATGGACACTCAAGTGTTACAATAAGTTGCCATGCCTCATTTAAGCCCTGATCATGGGGAAGCACGAACTGAGACCCACTGCATGAGCCAGTTTCTACTTAGTTCATGAACAGAAAAGGCCTAGAGAATTCATGGTATATAAAATATCAACAAGAGGGATGTAAGGGTACATTATTATTACCTCTGTTTCCAAAAGAGACAAAGAGGGGAATTGTTTGTTCATGATCAAACATACATGTATCAAATATGAATATACAGAAATCTTTGTTTAATACAAGGCCCCTTCAATAAAATATGTACAGCCATCTGGAAATACAGTTTGATAAAATTTTGCTATTTCTAAAATTATTATACTCCATAATGTTCCTCCAAATGTAAAAAGTCTGAAAAGAAATATATTAATATAGAAAGAAAACTATATTAGTAATGTTATTGCAAAATATGTGAAAGATTTTAGTCAAAGAAATCTCTATAGATGAGAAAAGCTCCTTAAAAGTCAAGGTAGAGTTAAAGTAGAGGATTAAAGTCTTGGTGGATTATTATCAGGATTAGGTTATCTAAATTTTCTATTAATTAATAATTATTTAGCATTTAAGCATTTTAGCATTTGGTTAGCAATTATTTATTAGACATAGATATAGAGAAAGAAGGTAGCAGAGTTAGCTTTCAATAATTTTTAAGAATTTTGTTGGAAATGTACAGAATATACTTTTAAAATAAGTCAAATATTATTATCATTTCATCATTCTGGTCATTTTTACATTGTATTTAAGTAGTAAAGTTGAATTTAAACCAATCATATAAATCACAACCTTACTTATTTCCCAAAACATTGGGAGGTCAATATCATTGTTCCATGTACAGGAATCATACTAAGTAGCTGAGACTGAGAGAGAGAGGTTGCTTGTTTGAAGTCTTACAACTAGGTAATGACTAGGTCAAAGAACTAGTTGAATCAGAATTCTGAGAAATTTCTACTCTAAAAAATGTATCGATGCTGTACACCTGAAACTTAACACAATACTAACACAAACTAACACAAAGTCAACTATGCTTCAATTAAAAAAAAATGTATCCAAAGATAAAGGAAAAAGTTGTAAGGGATAAGGCATGAGGCTCAGTGATATTAGAATCAGAGGAATGAATTTCATCCTTCTCAAAAATTGACCCCTGAGTGAAGAGGATTTAAAGGGTAATTGAATAGTCATAGGAATCATGAATATATAAAGGAATGGTTCTGAATATATTAATCTAGAAGGTAAATGGAAGGTTAAACAATAAGAGGTATAAAGCAAGAAAAGAAGAAAGAAGCAATAAAGAGCAAAAGTGAGAGAGACAGAGACAGAAAGATGCAGAGGCAGAGAGACGGAGAAGGAGGAGAGAATAAGAGAAGGAAAATAAGGAGGAGGAAAAAGAATTACGGAGCTGATGCTAGAACAATATTGGACTGTTCTGAACCAATTTAAGAATTGCCATTTCTAATTCTTAACATATGGAAGATTGGAATGAAGAGATATTAAAAGGAATGAGACATTAAAATAAATGTATAGATATCTTTGTTTAATATGAGGTCCATTCATTTGAGGAAAACACATCAAGAAAGTATGTAAAGCCATTTGGGAAAAGAGTGGTAAGCCTGCTCCATTTCTAAAATTACTATTCTATACAATCCTTGTCCAAACACAAATATTTTATATTTTCTCTTTTGCCCCTATGGGAAAATGTCCATAGTGACAAGGAATGAAGTGCTGACCTAAATGGGGACATCTGTTGAGCCTTCACATATGTATACCCTCCATTCTACTCCAGGAAACTTTACTAGACTTGGGGTGTATCTTAGCAACAGAATTTTAGGAAGGATCGTCTCTAATGTTAGAAGCAGGGTGAAAATGACCCCTGGATGCCCAATTTTCTAACTCCACTTCTGTCATAGGTGGTAAGATAAGAGGAGTCGTGTCACAAATGAAAAAATAAGGTCGAAGAAAACCAGAGAAAAGGTGATTGAACGTGTAAATATAAGACCCATGTGTGATGTTGTAAAAGGAGATTTCACCTGCTTCATAGTCCAAGAAAATCCCAATGCAGCGAGGCCGTTCCAGGTGGAGGAGAGGAACTGATGGAGAGGCAAGGACCATGTACTCACTCCCTTTCAGTAGCCACATGGCCCAGACCCCGTTCTCAGGAGATGGTGTGGTTTCCCCCTTTCTTGACACTGTGTCTTGACAGACACCTAACCCCCATTCTGCTCTTTCTCCCACCATAACTTCCCAGTAATGCCTCCCTGATGAGAAGTTCTGCAAACCCAGGATACAAGGCCATGTGTCAAATCGCTCAGGGTTGTTGGGGACATCCCTCCATAGTTCTCCATCCTGCACACTGCGCAGGTCAGCAGTCAAGAGGAGGCTAGGATGTGCTGTGGCGGGATCCAGTTTTATGTCAACTGCAGAAAGAATTTTGTGGAACATGTAAAAGAACAGAAAAGACTGGTGAAAACTTAGGAAGCCATGATATTGAGAACTGTCACGCCATTCCTCACTCTCCCTCTAATAACTCCTGGAGATAACAAAATATGTATTTCACCTTGCAGGTCGATGAGTATATGCTTCATTGCTTTTGAGTGTATTCCACTGCTATGTCTGCATAATCCAGGACTCATTACTGCCCCAGTTCAAACATAACCATTGATGATAAGACAAACCATGTGCATGACCATTTAGATTCCTTTTATCTCTATCCAGAGTACTTTGGAAGATCTTTGGTGCTCTTTGGAAGATCTGCATTTAAAATAAAATTTACAGCTCCCTTGGGATTTTTTTTCTCCTCAAAGGCTATAGGAAAAATTCATTGGTATAAAATCCACCACTTTCAAAGCTATGTTACTATGATAGGAAGAATTCTAAGATGAGCCTCATGACCTTCAGACCCTGGTGGTGCTCTCATGATTCTGTTATATTATGTGACAAGAGGGAGATTATCTGAGTGGGTCTAATAAAATCACCTTTTAAAGTCAGAGAGGTTTCTTTGGCTATCAGGCTGCCACCAGAAGTGAAAATCAGAGACATTTGGATTTGATGTGTCATTGCTGCCTTTGAAGATGGAGTGGGCCACAGCTGAGGAGAAGGGTGAGTGACCCCCAACTGATAACCAGCAAGGAGATAGAAATCTCAGTCCCACAACTGCAAGGAACTGCTTTACATCAACAAACTGAATAAGCTTGCAAGTGGGCTCTTCCCTGGATCCTTTAGAGAAGCCCAGCCTGGTCAACACCTTGATTTCTGATCTTATGAAATCTTAAGCAGAGATGCCAGCTGATCCCATGTGGTTATCTGATCTGAAGAACTGTGAGCCAATAAATGGATGTGGTTTTGGGTAGCTAAGTGTGTGGTAATTTGCTATGCAGCAATAGAAAACTACTACTGATACTGTGAAGTCCCAGTGAGATTGATATGAAATTTTATTTGTACATATAATTAATAAATACATCTACAAATGAAATGACCTCAGTGAAGAAGGGAGGATGTAAAATATTCAGTGTCTTTTTTTTTGGTAAACATTCAAAATTAGTAAATTTCATTAATCATATTTTAATTTTTAATATACTAATAACACATACTAAGATGCTGACTGTTATTCTTATTTGTCTCTAAACCACTTCTAACTATCTTTTATTGATACTCAAACCTGAATGGGTCACATAAGTCGTGCATCATCTATACTATCCCATGGAACCCCACCCTCAAGGGTGCCACTATCATCCTCATAGTGTAGATGAGGAGACTCAGAGTCCAAGAGATTATGTGATTTTCCCAAATTATATGACTTTCCTGTCATAAATAATGGGAATTGAAAAGTGGGTCTCCGTGGAATTGTGTTAGGCCTATTTAACAGATGTCATGTCATCATGCATCATTCCCACTCCAGCACACTTACTTGCTCCATTGATAAGAAAATACATCTGTGAAATAGTTGTTAATACATCTATCTCCAGTTCCTCTCCCTACCTCTTCTTTCTTAAACTCAGTTGCTCACCAAGATAGAATAATATCTTAAGCAAACTACTCCTTCTTCCCAGTGCCCCATGCATTGCTAAATGATCAGTCCTTAAAGTTCACCTTAAATGACTTTTCTGTGGCACTCAACACTGTTGAGAATCCTTTTGTCCTGGGAAACTTCACTTCTCTTTCCCAAAGACACCAGTCATCATGCTTTCCCTCCCTCTCCACTGGCCTCCCCTTCTTGGTTTCCTTCGCTGTTTTCTCCTCTTCTCCTCCATCACTGCTATTCGAGAAGCCAATGGTCTCAGGATTGGGACCTCTTGCCTCTTTCTCAGATCACTTCTGATGTGTTCTGGGGCTGGCAGGCACATTGCATCCATTAAATTCCATTCATATGCTTACTAATTCCAAATATATATATATATAGCCTAGACTTTTCTCCTGGAACTCCATATTTGTAAATTCATCTGTGTACCTGACATCAACATTTGGATATTTAACATTCATCACAGCATTGATGTGTCTAAAAGCCATTTCCCTTTTTCTGCCTCACCTGCAGCTTTACCTGTCAATGTAAACAGCAATTTCATTACCCAATTCTGGAGATTTAAACCTTGGAATCATTCACGACTTTTCTCCTTCTCTGACACCTCATATCTAATCCAAGAGCAGATCTTGCCAGCTTTGCCTTCAAAATACCAAGATTCTGTCCATTTCTCTGCACCTCCAGTACTACTACCCTTGTCCAACGGACAATCGTCTCTGATTGGATTATTACAACGGATCCTAACTGGCTTTCCCACATCAAGACTTTCCCCTCTGTAATTTATTCTCAATAAAGCACACAGAGTGATCGCCACAAAACATTAATCCAATCATCCTATTCCTCCATTTACAGCTTTCAACTGATGTTCTATTTCACTTGGAGGTAAAGCATTGCTCACAGTGGCCTGCCTGTTGGGTCCTGTGCTACTTGGACTTTTCTTGGCCTCCCCAGCTCTCCCCTCACTCACTCCACCACAGCCGCACAGAACTCCTCATAGCTCCTGGAATGCATCTTCCATATTTCCATCTCAGGCCTTGACACTCATTTCTGATGTCTGGAATGCTTTCCTCGATGATCAAATTCCAAATTAGATGCCCTAACCCCAGAACTTCCAGCCACCCTTAATTTATTCTTTTTTTCAATATTCTGTATCATCTTCTAACATTCTGTGTATTTTGCATAATTTAAGCAAATATATGCAACATGAAGCTGTAGATTTGTAAGTTGATGTTATTGTTCAATTTTATATTCTAATGTTTAGAAGAGTTGCTGTCATAAAGTACACAATATTTGTGGAATTGATTAGTTAATTCAGTAAAAATAAGTGGGAATATGGAGACGCTGATTATGAGAGTGTAGTAACTTGCAACATTTCATGCAGTTAGTACATATTACTTTGCCCATCAGAACACTGATTAAATCATTGAACAGGACTGATAAGATGGGTTTTCTCATCATGGGACAAAGTGGTTTCCCTGTAAGTAATAAAGCCACTATTTAGCCACTGTCTGTTTTCATTACTTGGTATAAATTGAATATAGAAAAGAAATTAAAAGTATTGAACCGTTACTGTTTAAAAAAAACAACATAATAGGACCAAACAAACTAATTATAACACCACAGAGCCTACAGAGGGTACTTAAATATAACTGACTGAATATTTTTGGCTTTATTAACTATCTAATTTAAGAAATTCATCAAATTGCCAGATAATAAAATAATCCAAACCTTATATTATTTGATACACTGCAATGCTTTCATATATTGATGATTTTCTGTTTTCAAATGTTTCATTTTGTCCTCCAAACAATACAATTTTTTAGCATTTTATAAACAAGGAAATGGAGATTGATTAGAACTAATGTTACTTATATCACAGCTAATATCACTTTCAAGCCCACCATTCTAACCAAATGTAGCTTATGTGGGTGTCAGTGACTCTGATATTCTTTCAGACTATTCAGAAGTATCTCAACATTCTGTTTTTTTTATTCTGAGCACGGTGCTCTCTCCCTTCCTCCCTTGTAGTTTGGCATAAACGTGTGACTCACTTCTATCAATAAAATCTTCAGGAAAGCCCTGTGTGCCACTTCCGAGTAGTGCATGATTCATCATAATCTTGCCCTTTTCCATGGCTACCAGCAACAGGAAGGAGGTGGGGCTCTGTCTGCACGGGTCCCCAGAGTGAGATTATGTGAAATTAAAGCCTCCACAATCTAGTAATCAACCTAAAACATGATCTCGAAATAAAACCTTTCTGATTTTAGCCACTAAACTTTGGGTTCTGTTTGTTACTATAGCCTGACTGGTACAGTAACAAATTGCAATAAGAGCCAAATTCCAGGTGTCATAGTTCCTCGAGCTCTAAAATGCAGCCTACCTTGGAACTTTCTCAACATTTCCCTCATCCCAGGGATGCGACACATTGTCTTCAGCTCCATGGGGATGGTCTCCAGATCCAGCCGTGTGACACTCTTACTTCTGAGAAGAGCGCAGAACCCACAGTTCTCAGTAGGGTTATCCACCAACCTCCCCAGCCTCTCCCAACCCATTCTTTGATTCAGAAAGTAAACATACCGGCTCAAGGCTCCTCCCGCACCCTGAAAGTGAAAGAGAAACAAGTAGGTGTGAGTTAGACCTCTGAACTGCTTTTGACAGACTGGGGACACACCATGAACATCTCTTTAGGAATTATTGGAAATCATTAACTATTAAGGTAAAACTATAAGAAACATGACTCTCTCTTAATAAAAGCTAAAAACAGGCTGTTGTTGAGTTTTCTCATGAATTTAAAATAATATAATCAGTTTGCCTCTATTAAAATAAAATCAGACCACACAAAGTTTAGGTTAATTCCTATAATATCTATTGGTTTAACTATTTTCTGAATTGATAATTCTGACATTTCAATATTTTAGTAAAGAGTTACATTCTGTGAATGCAATTAGGGTAAAAACAGATTCTGAGTATCTTCAGAATTTATTTGAGTAACAGTGAAAGGTTAGACATAAAATGTTGCTCTCAATGTCCTTTTAAGAAAACCCTAAATTCCTCATTCTTTGAACCAACATACCATGTCTAAATTACCTAAGTGGATAAAAATAGAAGTCATTAATATCTAGCAACATTTTATCTCAAAGTAGATTACTAAATAAATCACCTGCATTGCATTTCCCCTCTCCCTCTAAAAAATAGCCACCTGTCAGATTAATTTTGACAGGGCATAAAAACAGGGAAATGATTAGCTTTACTTTTCATCAGAATGACAGGCCTTGTTTTTGGCCATTGCTGGTGAAATACAGCTTACTGGTACTGAGAAAGAAAGGGAAAAGAGGGTATAAAAATGAAACTAAATTATTTGAGAATATATTCCCCCTAAGATTTATAAGACATTTAAACATTTCTTCAGTGATAATAAATGATAACTTTATATACATTGTGTTTTGAGATATGGTAAGGTGAGACAATGAATATTATTGAAAATGCCAGAGTTCTTGTGTTTATTTACCGTCTGAAATTTAGAAAATTTATTCCTTTCTGACAGTTTGCTCACTAGGAAGTGGGCATAGCAATACTAATAAAAATAATAACAACACTAATAACAACAACACAAGTTTTACTGATATATAGATATATTGAAGACAAAATGGGACAAATTAAATAAAAATGTTTTGTAAATGCATTCATTTAATGACCCCCCACTCCGTAACCAGTGCTATTTATCAGAGTACTTGTATGAGGATAGGAATTACTTAGTTCAGAAATCCCTAAATGAGGCACTGGGGATGAGATACAATGAAGCGTGCCCAGAAAATTTCTATTGCAGTGAGTTCTATCATGATAGCATGCATCCAGCAACAACGATGACTTTCTCAGTTCACTTGGGATTTAATGCCTTCAAGGAGGGTTAAAAGGAAATATTTCCTTTTCCCTGTTATTTGTCTCTTTGCTCTATAATCTCAAATATAGCGTGGGCAAGCTGCATGGAGCCCAGGCAATCTCTCCCTACCACACCTGGAATAGTCATGCAATATGGGCTAGAAAATTAGCATTTGTCTTAGAAATTAACGTGCGAATTTCAAGGTGGACAATTTAAAATATTACTCATACTTTTGGCTATTGACATTTAAATGGGTTAACAAGACTTTTTTGGATTGACCATCACTGAAATACAGCAATATCATCATTGACCGATTTTGAGGTTACAGATTGTCCTTTTCCTGTTTAATCATATGTAAATCATTAAATTGATTTTAGTTTTAAAAATATTTAAGTTTTGTCTTTAGTATGAACTATTTTATATGATTCTCTAGGGTCCCTTCAGATTCTGATGCTAGGATTAAGAATTAAGATGTTTTCCAAGTAAATTCTAGGGTGCCCTTTCCCTAAAGATCATAAATGCTTAAGCTGTTTGCCTCTGAAAGCTGCTATTTGTCCCCTTGTTCTCAAGTCTACCCATCCCTCCCCTCCCAGGCACCCAGCCCCACCTCCAGCAGACCCAGGGCTGGGCGCTGGCACCTCTCCTCCAGATCCTCTGCCAGATCCTTCAAGGCCCTGCTCTGCTGAACCAGCCGGTTCTTGCTCTCCCGCAGTCTCTGCAGGGTGGCTCGCTCCTCCTCCTCCAGTCTTCTAAGCTGCAGTTGCTCCTCCAGGGCTAGTAAGCCACGATACTTTTCAAACTCCAACCTGAAGCGTTGCCTCTGCGTTTCCACTTTCTCCTGGAGTGACACAGTGCATCGAATGATCAGCAGCTGGGGCAGAGCATTTGGCCTCCACCCTCACGGATGGGCTGACGAAGCTGGAGAAGGCAATGTCTGGAGTGATCTCATCTTCATAACTCTATGAACGGACCCACTGCATTCTAACAACATGCAGAAGCCAGAGACTGCTCATGAGAAGTGGCCTGCTAGAGTTTTCAAACTTAAGAGTTTGAGAAATACTGTTGGATTTGGGATCCCATTTCCCTGGACTTGAGGACCAGGCACTTTCATATTCAAGTTTCAGTACCATATACAAAATGGGGGAAAAGAAGGGTCTGGGAATTAGAGTTTAATATCAAACTGTTGAGCACAGTGACTGATATAGAGTAGTTGCTCAATAGAAGTGAAAATTTACTATTAGTCACTGGAATGAGAACTGTGTGGAGATAACTGAATTATGAGGAGAGATTAGGGAGACCTGGATTTGTAAACGTGAATAAGAAAACGTTTATAGAGATTAGAAAATATTCCTCAATAATGTGGTAATCATGAAACTATAAGGCTCACATTCTCTGCAGAGCCAAGAAAGAAAGAAGTTATTCTCAGGTCACTTATTGCACAGGTTCAGGGAATTCATCTTGATTTCTACCCAAATCTCACCTCTATAATTTTTTAATAGACCTAAGGAACACATTTCGATACAGCATTAATATATCTAAATTTTATTCTCTGGAGACTGGTGTGTGGAAAAGTAGCTTTAAACTAAGAATAAGAGGCAAATTGCCCTCCCATAGTCTCTCCACATTTTGAATTCTCTGGTCCATTATTAAACATTATACCATTTTGGTTCAATTTAAGAACACAAGCTAGTGCCTTTAAAAGAATTCTAGTAACGATTTTCCTCAAATTTCATAAGATTCAACTCTTTCCTCCAGTTTCCCATTTCTACCTCCTTCTGCCACTTTCTAAACAACTAGATTCATATAATTCTGACCTCTTTAAAGTCAACCAACTGTGAATTCCATATTCTGATCTGAAAGGTACAACTCATTGAATTTCTCCCCCACTCTCCATGTTGGAGGCTGTGCTATTGAGGAGTGGTGCTAATAACTCAGTCATTGAAAAACAGTGGAATTATATTTGGGTCATAAGAGATAACATGGTCCAGAGGGTTTTAGTTGCAATTCACTCTTCTCTCATATCATCCTTCTGAGTACTACAATTATATCTACAGATACAGAAAGGCTAAGGGTTTTCACAGAATTTAGAGTTTATTTAAGCCCATGCTTGTTGCTTTTGGCTCACATAGATACATTTTCAAAGCTAAAAATCATGCTAGTTTATTTGGCCTAGGACAGGGATCTTAGAATCATCTCTACTTTAGAATAATCAGCGGAGGGTTCAAAAAATGAAGGAACCCGTATCTCAGATATGGAATTTCTGATTTTGTAAATTTGTGGTCAGGTCAGGATTAAAAACAACTGACTTGGATTGTTAGCATAAAAAGAATAAAAATTATCAATAAACATCACTATCAATAAACTTTACATATAATATACATAACTATGGGAAAAGATAAGACTTATCACAGAAGAAAAATATAGCAAAAATAATCCTTATGAAAATATTGTCAGAAAACAGAGCACAAGACAAAATTTTTGAGAAAAGAAGAAAGAATTATAAAAATAAAAGGGTTCCTTGGAGAAGGACAGAGAAGAGAAATATTCTATAAAATAGATTCTATATCTGTTATAATACATATTATATAAATAAAAACACCTATGTAATTTCCATATACAGCTTCTCAATATTGACCCTCTTGACATTAGACCAGGTGATTCTTTGCTGTGATTTTTTTGGGGGAAAGGTGACTGTCCTGTGCATTAGGGTGTCTAGCAGCATTTCTGGCCTCTACACATGAGTTGCTAGTAGAGCACCCACCCTCTCCCAGTTGTGACAACCAAAAACATCTACACATATTACAAAATATCTCTTGGAAGGCAGCACTGCGCCAGGTTCAGAATCACTCTGTGTATGTTTGTGTGTGTGTATGTATAAATAGGTAAGAGAAAAAAAGAGCTCATGAGGGGCTTCCCTGGTGGTGCAGTGGTTAAGAATCCACCTGCCAATGCAGGAGACATGGGTTTGAGCCCTGGTCCAGGAAGATTTCACATGCCATGGAGCAACTAAGCCCATGCACCGCAACTACTGAACCTGTGCTCTAGAGCCCGCGAGCCACAACTACTGAGCCCGTGTGCCACGACTACTGAGGCCTGCATGCCTAGAGCCCATGCTCCGCAACGAGAAGCCACTGCAATGAGAAGCCCGCACACCGCAACAAAGAGTAACCCCCACTTGCCACAACTAGAGCTGTGCCCATGCACAGCAACAAAGACCCAACACAGCCATAAATAAAGAAAGAAAGAAGTAAATAAAAAGAGAGCTGATGAGGTATAATAAAGATAAAAAATATTTATGGATGACTGAAAAAGACTGAAAATTCAGACTGTCTTTCTATATGTAAGATGATGACTATTGACCTGTATTTCATATATATAAGTGATGTGAAATATTTACTATTTCATTCATCTAACAAATGTATATTTTTTAAACTAGTACTGACAGTACAAAACTCTGTTCTAGGTGATGCAGTGAGTTAAGATGAGTAAAATCAAGTGAGTGAGTAAGATCAAGATCAGTAAAGTTTATTTACAATTTGGATTGGGGTCATATTAACAGAGATAAAAAGAACACAACTGTACAATATAATTTGAGGGGATGAGGTGATCCAGGGTGAAACTGAGATTTTTTTTCTTGAGTACCCATGTAGATGGAACAAAAGTGCTGGAGTGCTGGTGGAAGAATGATTTGGTGACCAAAATTTGGATCCTTCAAATAGGCTAGCCTCCTGAACCCCAATATTCTCTCACCTTCCAAATGACAGTTTTCCTTCCCACACTGGCCTCCTGAGTCAAGGCTTCCTCCATCTCTTTCCTCACATGTTCCTGGGCCATCTGGAGCTTTACCTGTTTGGGAAGATATGCGGCAGCCATTACAGATACCCTCATTCAGTACTTAATATTGACTGGGTATGGGGGGAAATACAAAGATCAGCTAAAACAGGCCCTAGAAAACATATAAAAATGTTCGACCTCGTTAATAACTGTTAAACATAAATATGTTTTTAAATGTTGATGCCAGATGGAATCAAAGATGTATCTAAAAGTGTGTTCATTGTATTTTAAATAGTAAAACTGTAATTAACCAAAGTGTTAAAAATACGGGAGTGAGAAAATTTTATTTTCACAGGACGGAATTAAAATAAGGCGTTGCAGAATATTTAATGACAAGAAATACAAGTATAAAGAAAATTAAAATAAGTATACTTCATGCAACTTTGCACCAAGTTTGAAAAATAAAAATGCTTATGATGAATATATAAAAACTAGGCAGAGACCAATGAAAATATATTCAATAAACAAAATCTCATATACTAATTCTTGGTTGAAAAGTGATGCTATTCCTTATATCTATATATTTCAACTGCTTACAGTTATTTATTACTTTATAATCAGAAGTGTATTTATTATATTTGGCAGAAGAAAACTTGTAAGTTAATATTTACTACATGAAAAAGAAATACAGAATGTCATAAATCTTACAAGGGGTAGAAAAATAATTTAATGAAAAGTAAATCTCTTTCAACCCTAGGACTCCTGCTAGAGGTAAACGCATGTATTTTATTTACAAAGAACACACACAAAGATAGACACATACACACATTTTAAAACTCTTCTCAAAATCATTCAATAAGTCTCAGAAAAAACAAAACAAAAACAAAAACTAGCAAACAAAAAATGAAATTCTTCCCAAAGTCACTGAACAAGTCCTACGCATCAAGGTTGTTCTTTTTTAAAGATAATATTCTAAGGTAGAGCACATAAAATAGCAGTAGAATCCATGGAGGCATTTAAAATCCATGGAGGCATTTAAAAATGAAGAAACTAGCAATTTTTTTAGTGTTTGGAAGGAATAGAATACTTCAACACTTATGGACAAAAGAAATTGTAAGCAAAAGCAAGGAGGTAAAAACCTGTGGCATGTTTGGGGACAACAGTAATTAGGCTAGTTTTGCTGGATCGAATGATTGGTTTAGACAAGAGCTATAGTAAGAAAACTTAGGGCCTTAGAATGTCTTGATTGATAGGCTAAGGAGTTTAGAAGATATTTACTTGGTATTTAGTTGAAGAGCTACTGAAATAGAGAAAACTTCCTTAGAAATATGACATTATCCATGCAATATATAGTACCTTATGGATTAAAAGAAAAAAAGGGCAGGAACATATTTCAAAAGTCTAGCTAGAAAGTAGCTAGCAACTGAATTCTGCAGAAGACAACCAAAATCAAGAAGAAACACTAAGAAAGCTATTTCTTGGTAGGTCCAGAGGGAAGTTGAGGGAAAAAAAATCACAAACCTTGATTTAGAACAATCAAAGTTAAAATAATAATTATTACTAATTATTTTGTTATTATAAATTATAGTACATAATATAAATATACAAAATATTATAAATTATACATTATTAATAATAATTTGTTAATTAAATTTATTATTATTTTAGAAAGTTGATATTTGCACTTTATTTCATCGTGATAGTACTTCAGGTAAAGGTCGATAGATTAAAGATGACTTTAACCTCCTTTGTGCTAGCAGCCGTTCCAGATATTCAGAATTTAAATGTGTTCAGGATATGTCTAAAAACTTTAGATGAGCACCAGCAGGGAGAATCTTATTCATAGGGTTTCACAGATGCCACTTTTGTGGGCCAGGTACTCCAATATGAGTCACCTTTTCATTGAGGATGCTCACATCATAAGTCCACAAATACGTGTTGAATAGAGAAGGGCCTGTGTGCTTAGCTACTGGATTTCTACTTCAGAGTAACATGCATTGGCAGGCTTTAAAGGTGATCAGAGCCCTGTGCCCATCCAGAAACTATTCTTAGCAAATGTTCAAACATGAAGGTTGCTTTATGCGCCCCAATGCTCACTGCAGCACTTTTACAATAGCCAAGACATGGAAACAACCTAAATGTCCATTGACAGATGGACGGATAAAGAAGATGTGGTACATATATACAATGGGATATTACTCAGCCATAAAAAAGCATGAAACAATGCCATTTACAGCAACATGGATGGACCTAGAGATTATCATACTAAGTGAAATAAGTCAGACAGAGAAAGACAAATATCATATGGTATCACTTATATGTGGAATCTAAAAAAATGATACAAATGAACGTATTTACAAAACAGAAATAGGCTCACAGACTTCAAAAACAAATTTATGGTTACCAAAGTGGAAAAGGGCGGGGGAGGGATAAATTAGGAGTTTGGGATTAACATATACACACTACTACATATAAAATAGATAATCAACAAGGACCTACTGCATAGCACAGGGAACTCTACTCAATATTCTGTAATAACCTATATTGGAAAAGAATCTGAAAAAGAAGGGAGATATGTATATATATAATTGAATCACTTTGCTGTACACCTGAAACTAACACAACATTGTAAATCAACCATACTCCAAAATAAAATAAAAGTTTTTTAAAAATGAAGGTTGTTTTGGTGACAATATTAATTAACATAGAGATAAACACTATGCAAAAGCAAGACATTATACAAATGATAGTTATTCGGAAGTGTTTCCAATAACTATGTGCACCTGTAACTAAGAGCCCATTGGACACCACAGCCCTCTACACCAGAGCTCTAGCTGTGGAACCCAGATTATCAACATCAGGAAAATTAAGACCAGCATGAAATTAAACGTCGAGGGAGAATTTCATGGGAGAGGAGGGCAACCTAAAATAATGGTATGTCTGAGCTCCTGAACAGGGGTCCCTAAAGGTGGGGTATGCACGGAGCAAAGGCATGGAGACCTCAAGGTGAATGTGAGCCAGGAGGGTGGTTGGTGCGGAGGGCACAGGTCATTCAGATCAGGTGGTAGCATTTGGCTCTGTCCCTAGCAAGGCACTCTTCACACCTCTGACTCAGTCGGCTCCTCTGTTACAGATCAGCATTTCCAGACCCAGGAATCGTGGCCCTCCACGTGCCATGGTAACACCTCTCACCTGGTAGCACCTGGCGGCCTCCTGCAGCGGTGTTGTGCGGTGGCTCCTGTGCTCTGGGGTGGTGTCACAGACCCAGCACAGAGCCTCCTGGTCCTCCTCACAGAAGCGGCTCAGCTCCTCGCCATGCCTCACACACAGGCGCGCCCCCGAGGGCCCCGCGCCGAGCCCCAGCTGCCGCACGCTGTCCACCAGGCTGGCCAGCTGCCTGTTGGGGCGGAAGCTCTCCAGCCTGAAGGGAAGCCGGCACTGCGGACAGGCATAGAGGCCGCTCTGTGCACTGTCGGACTTCTCGCAGAACTCGGAGATGCATCTGAGGCAGAAGCTGTGGCCGCAGTCCACACTGACCGGTTTCTGCAGGAAATCCAGGCACACTGGGCACCTAGCCTCCTCGCACAGCCGCTCCCCGGGCCCCCCCGAGGCCATGGCCGGCCGGGCCTCGCCCGGCCCTGCTGATAGCAGAGCCGCCTTCCCCAGCTGCCTGCTCTATCTCCCCTGGTGGTCTGGCACAGAAGGGAGGAACCCCACAGCATGAGAAACAGACCCAAGATGGGTTTTATCCGCTGGCCAGAGTCCAAATGAGCTACTCCCAGGGAAAAGTTGTAACTCAGGCACCCTCAACCACAAGGATAAAATTAACATTCTAGTTACCCTAGCCTCCTAGGAAACTGATCATTTCTAACGGAATCCCTCATAGTATACCTTATTGGAACCCGAATTCTCATGTTTTCACTGTCAGTAAATTTGGAGAATTGCTTAGCTCCTTCCTTCCATTATTTTCTAACTACCCCATGACCTTCTTATCCTTATACGGCATAATGAGTTCTTAAAGTTTTTTTTTTTTTCCAAACTTTATTTTTTCTACCTCCTGTTAATTAACCCATGATAAAAAATTGGGGTAGGTGGGTTGATAGGGAGATCCAAAAAAAATGTGTGTATAATAATGATGGGTCTATAGCCCAACAACAATGCAAAGCATTTAAATAAATACCTGGCCCAGTTCAGTGAGTCCTATAATGACTGCACACATGTTGTGATTGTTGCAAAGCATATCTTGGAGGTGGCAAAGCTGTAGGTTAAGGCATTGGTTATAAGAAATAATTCAAGCATATGTGGCACCTGTGAGGTGGCGAAGGCTGAGAAAGATATAGAAGAAGAGAGATGATTTGACAGAAAGGGTGTGATCCCTACTTGGGATGAATATGGTGAGATCATTAGGTCAGCCAGAAAGTAGACAAATGTGGAAAGTGTCTGTCATCTGCACAAAATGTAATTTTCATTTTGTTGAGTTTGAAGCAAAGATGCGCATGGCATGCCTGTAGCAAATCCTTCAGTCCTTCAATATGTGTTCCTCAGCACAAACTGCAAGTCTCAGACACAAGGGTAAGCAAAAGACAAATGACCCAGCTCTCAAGGGAACCATCAGGAGAACTCATAAAAGTATAAACTAATACCTGGGAGAAAGGACACTCACCAGTGCTGCAAGAATATAACAGGGCTTTGAACTAGCCTGTGGGGTTGGAGTTTGGCCCTTGGGAGTCTCTGAGTTAATAACTGAAGGGTGACTACAGGCTGAGCATAGGAAGGGGACTCTATCAAGCAGAACAGTCAGAGGGCACAGGGTACACAAGATGAACTGCTGCTGGAGGGAGCAGGTTTGCCCCAGGACATGAGGCAGCCAAGCAGGCTGGTATGTGTTAGAGGTGAGGATGAGTGGCAGTGGATAAGGTCCCAGTGGGAGGCAGGGACAGATGACTCAGGTCCTTGCAGCTCCTGTGTGGTTTGTGGGTCCTTATTCTAAGGCCCAGGGCTTGGCCTGGAGCTTTGGTGGAGGGCAGGGCCTAAAGGGTTTTGAAGTTGTCTACCTAAAGGTTAGGTGGATAATTAAAACAGAGAGATTCTTTGAGAACAAGAAGAGACAGTTATGAGCAGAACATCAAAGATGTGAATTTAGAAAAGAAAGGAAAAGGGCAAAAGTCTCAACAATAGAAAAGCAGACCCTGGTCCCAGGCTGAAGACTGTGCCACTTGCTAGATAAGGGGCTTTAGACAAGTTTCTCTACCAAACTTCCTTTAAAATATTAGGACATTGTTAGTGCCACTCCTACAGGGCTGTTCAGAGGATTGAATAAGCTAATAGATGTCACACATTTGATACAGGTTCTGGCATGTAGTATTTATATTTAATTAAAGAAAAAGAGAAGAAATAGCAAAATAAATGGATAATTAGAATGTAAGCAGGAGATTTCTTTTTCTATTTTCTTCAATATTATATCCCTAGTAACTTGAAGAGTAACTGACACATAAGACACCCAATGAATACTGGTTGAATAAATGAGTGTGGGAATGAATGAACAGAATCAGTACAGTTTATCCTAGAAGCTAATGGAGGATAAAATTTCAGTGACTATGTCAAATGTGAGATCCATATTTTTCTACATTTTACATATATGATTTTGACTTATATTGCTGTGACTCTCTAAGATGCTAGAACACATTTCTATGTTATTTGGAGACATAATAAAGCATCATATTGCTCAAATGTATAGAGGAATTAATAACTCAGCTCACTTGAATGCAGATTTCCGAGTGCCTAAAAGGCTAAGGGAAGGTCACTGACCTTGGATGTGGGGGTCAAAGTGGTTTTCAGGAGGGTGAGATGGAGTGGGTGAGCTGACATCAGATGGCACTTCTTCCCTGACTGGTTCTAGGGTCACTGAATTTAAGCTTGGCTTTGTCTCTAGCATTGGGAGGCTAGGAATGACCTCTGTACCACTGTTCTTAAAAAAACAAATTTTCCTTACAGCGCATTTGTGCAGGTAAGTAGTGGACTGGATTATAAGTAGATGTCACTGTATTTACAAATGCCTTCCTGAGCACTTTCTTGTTTAATAGGATTGGTCTAAATTAAATTTGTGTTTTCTCATGATCATTCTTCTGGGGTGAATAAAACACATCTTAACCACATTTTGGTGCACCCACTCCTGGATCCTTACCCTGACTCCTTTCTCTGATTCATTTGCAGAATGCATAGTTCTAAATCTTTTAGTTAATATCCTCACCCCTTGCCATCATCCTTCTCTAATACTCCACTTCACGTGTGTTCTGCCTTCTCTGACACAGGATTCTCCTCCTCTGACCATTCCTCCCTGCTCACCTTTCCTAACTACTTTGACATGGTGGCTTTGGGCTCCTGAACCATCTCTCCAGGACATCCTTATTTTCTTTCCTAGCCTGAGTCTTCTTCAGCAAGGTTCTCAGATCTCTTGACCACACCTTTGCCTCAGCTTCGGGAATTTATAATCTCCTAGCCCCAAGCTCAGCCCACTCTGTAATGAAAACAACAAAAAAACAGCCAGCAGAAACCTCAAAAGCAACTGACACAGCACTTTCCTTCCTGCTTGTGGTTTTTAAAGAGATCTCTATTGGTTGGTTTTTTTTTCTCAGTTTTTCCTCTTTTTTTAATTGTTTTTTAATTGAAGTATGGTTGATTTACAGTGCTGTGTTAGTTTCTGGTGTACAGCAAAGTGATTCAGTTACACGTACATATGTGTGTCTATATATGTATAAGTATATACATATGTATTCTTTTTTATATTATTTTCCATTATGGTTTATTACAGGATATTGAATATAGTTCCCTGTGCTATACAGTAAGACATTGTTTATCTATTTTATATATAGTAGTTTGTATCTGCCAACCCCAAACTCCTAATTTTCTCCATCTTTCCCCTTGGATAACCATAAGTTTATCTATGTCTGTGAGTCTATCTCTGTTTTGTAAATAAGTTCATTTGTATCATACTTTAGATTCTATGTATAAGTGATATCATATGGTATTTGTTTTTCTCTGTCTGACTTACTTAGCCTGATAATTTCTAGGTCCATCCATGTTGCTGTAAATGGCATTATTTCATTCTTTTTTATGGCTGAGTAGTATTTCATTATCTGTTGGTTTTCATTTCAGCAGTTGTATCCTGCATTTTTATTGTTCCTTTTTCCCTGAGTCTATATTGATAATTCACTGAGCTTAAGGTTGTCTAATGTCCTCTGTAGACACAGCTTCAGCTTTCACTGGCTATGTAAGGGGTACTTCTATGGAGGGGATTCAGAGAAAGTTTGGGGCAGAGAAGGTTCCTTGTGACAGTGAGTGATAACTGAAGGTCTCTAAGACACTGATCAGTGCAGTGGGAATAATGCTGGCCCTTGGCCTGTTTCTCATGCATATGAGCTCCAATCAGCACATGTACATGTTAATAAAAGTAGATTTATTCAGTAATGTTATATTCAAAATGAATTTACGTTAAGAACTTTTTAAGTGATTTGATGGGTTCAAGGACAAGAATGTTATCTTATTCAAATTTTACTCCAAAGTACCTTCACTCTGAGCCTGCATAGAGTAAGGGGCCACTATAGCTTTGGGAATAAATTAATACATGCAAGGTCCTGTGTGAGATTTATAACACTCTCTGAAGGAGGTGTTGTAAACCACATCCATATATTAAATGTGAGAAATTCGAGATGTGAGCAAATGCAGGGCTGTAGAAATGAGCCCTGTCTTACCTCTAGTTCTAGGTCTTGTGTTTGATGATGCTTCTGGTGTGCTAGGCAGGCCCTGTCAGGACTCTCATATTCTTTCTGCAAACATGTAGGAATTACAAGATCTGGATTTGGGATCAGATATAAAAACCCTACCCCAAAGAGTGGACTATCATGCAGTCCATAAATGGTATTTAATTATTTTTCCAAAATTCAACAGCACGAGAAAAGACCTATGATGCAAATTAGCTGTAAAATTATCTGAAAAAACAGGCCAAGATACAGGCTAAAAAAATTACCTGCACATATGCCAAGCTATAGGCTATAAGTAGTAATGGAGTTATACTACCCCACGTGTGGGACACACACAAAAAAGTTTGGAAGGTAAGATATAAGACGTTTAATTCTGGGAGACAGTACAATAGACATTTAAAAAGATATATTTTTGTCTGTATTTTCTTCTCCAAGTTTCCTAAAAAATATATATACATGAATCATATTATTTTGAAATCATATTTTTATGAATATATTTTTAATGATATTAATTAAATCAAACATCAATATATAAGGAATTATGTCGGCCTACCTCATCAGGCTATAGTGTTTGTGTGATTCACTGGTGAATCCCAATGCATGGATGAGCCCCAAGCACATAGTAGGTGCTAAATGCATATTTGCTGACTAAATGGATCATCAAAAACTATCCAAAATAAATGCAATTTTAATTTTTTTAAATTTGTTCAATCGTTTAATATTTTATTTTAAATTAAAAGAGACAAATTTCATTTAACTAGAAATATTAATAAATTTGGTCTTTAGTTAGACAGACTTCCATACACTTGAATTTTTTTTTTTTAATCCTGCTATATTATGGATGGGTTAAGAAGTTTTTCTTTTCCAATTCATCTCCTAATTCTCAAATTGCATTTTTGTGTT